TCAGTTGTCTTAAAGATTATGACCCATTGGTCAGTTGCATAAGGAGTTCCTTCAATAAGAAGTGGTTTAATAGCTGTAATTTTTCCGAAATTTTCAAAGTTTCCAAAATTGCTTTAGAAACTCGTTCTTTGTTGTTAAGTAGTACATTTCTGACCTTGACAGGCAAAAATGATTTTCTATTATCTGTAGGAATAAATTCATAATAGGTTTGGTTAAAAATTATTATGCCCTTGCTGGCATAGTGTCTAAGCTGCTCGTTGTTAGCAAATGCTAGTTTTAAGTATGTTCTGTCACCTTTGGCAAAGTGTTGTTTTGCAGTGATTACATCTTGTTCTATGTGTTCATATGAAGAAATCATAATTTTATTAAAGAAGTGGTTTAAGTTTCTAATATCAAACACCAATGCGTTATTATTTTTTGACTTAATAGAATTTCTAAGAGATGAAGCAGAGTATGTAGACTGCCTTCTTTTTAATTTTGCAAAAAGGCTAGACCATTGCTTTTTGCCCCCTTGGGGTGTGTCTGTGTTAGCATGTGTTTTAACATATGGATTAACACATGCTTTATTGTGTACATCAGGTTGTGCCTCAGTATGTGTTTTTACATTAGCCATATAACTATCTTGTTTATTATCATATGATGCTTTGTATGTATGTGTCTTTGTTGTTGTCAGTTTGCTGCTTCTAGCATTATCTTTTTTAGTAGTTCTAGCTTTTGGGCTTTCATTGTTGTTTTTCTTTGTAGTGATACTTTCTTGTCCTGTTGCTAAGATAGCACTTCTAGCTCTACTTGTTCATCCCAGTTTGCACTATTGTTTGAGAGAAAACTTGTTTCGTATTCCATGGTTTACTTATTTAGAAGAAAGTTTTTTTAAGTAAAACTCTTTTGTGTTTTCGAAGATTAAGTGGTATAAGTCTACATTTCTTAGGAACAAGAGCCTTTGCCCTAGTTCTAATAAAAAATAAAGGGTCTTTGCTTTTTTTGTTAGTTGTTATTTTGTCAATGATAAAAATCCTGTTCAAAACAGTAATGAACAGGAAAGAGGTTTTTTGCTTATCTCAAAATTTTTCAAATCATTATCATTGAATTATTCATTTTGACTCATAATATATATATTATTTCAGTCTTTATAAATTTTTAATAATTTTTTGTTTAATGTTTCATTATAAATTAGATCATTCAAAACAAATATCATAACCTTCATAAGACTATGATATTCATTAGCTGTAAATCTAGCAATTAATTGAATTCTATACTTAAATATTTTAAGTTCTGATATTTTAAAATATTTATTTTATTTATTATCAAAGTTCTATATAGATCTTTCAAAGATTGCAAGTAAATGTAATTTAATAATTAAATAATCCTAAATCTAAATAATGCATTTTATTAATTACTGTAACTTTATAAATATTAATATTACTAAAATTAATAAATATATTAAATTATTTATTAGTATTTAATAATATTACAAACTTCAATATATTTTGTACAATTCAAAATATTGTGAAAATTTTTAAAATAATAAATAAATATTTATCTAGCAGAGTGCGAAACACTTAAATCTAGCATTACATATTGATATAAAATCCGATTAGTCAAAAATGCATAATTTTACATGCATAATAATAGAGTGAGATATAACAGTATCGCATTCTATAAATTAAAAAATAAAATCCAATATAAACAAAAATTAAAAATCGATGTGAAACAAACAATCGCAAATCATCCTCCAAAAAAAAAATCACTCTCCAAAAAAAAATCACCCTCCAAAAAAAGAATCACTCTCCAAAAAAAAGAATCGCTCTTCAAAAAAAAAAATCACCTTCCAAAAAAAAAAATCACCCTCCAAAAAAAAATCACCCTCCAAAAAAATAAATCGCCCTCCAAAAAAAAAAAAAAACTTCGAGCCATAAGTTAGTAAGATCGCAAATTACATTATAAAACATTGCATTAAAATGCAAATCAAGGATGCATCAACTTCGTATACAGAGCAGAATGAAAGACCTTCCATAACAAACTTATTCGACATTGTCAACGGCAATATAACTGAACTAGTTGAAAAATACTGTAAGTCTCAAAAGCAACAAATTTAATGAATCATTTATTAAAACTTGCTAACAACCACTTTAGTTACCTTCAAAGAAGATGGCCTCGAAGAGTTCAATAATGCTTCCACAACGCAAACGAAAAATATTGAGCATGGTGAAAATAACAAAAATAGTTAGTATCAAAATACAACACAAATAGACACTGCCAAAGTAAAACCAGACCTCACTCTTGCGTTTATTGCATATTTGCTAGCTAAACTAAAACCTTACATTCAAACAAAATTCTAGACAATAATAAATCACCCCAATTTCCACCTAAACATTAAAATCAGCCTAAATCCCAAAGCCCAAATCCAAAAGTTTTTTTAAATTGAGAATTAGGCAAACTTCATGTTTATCCTTTTAAACTCCAATCCCTTTGATAACAACCTATGAACCATTTTTCTTAACTCTAATTCCATTTTGAGAACCTGAGGTTTGTTTTCTTCTGGCAGCACAAAATATAGCATAAAACTAACAAACTTACATTGATAGGTTCACTTATAATTGCTTCCAAGGATATCTCCAACAATACTTGTTTTAATACATGAAATGAAGTAGAAAGCTATTTTAACGAATATGGAGCCAGAAATGGCTTTTCTGTTACCAAATACCAGATGGAATGAAACAACTTAGGTCAAATTCATAAAAGAACCTTTGTTTGTGAATTTAGCAGGAAGTATAAATCTAAAAAAACAATTGAAGCTGCTTTAAAAGAAACACAGAGAAATACAAAAACCAAAAAAATAAATTGCCCATGGCATATTAACTTATCTATTCCAGAATGAGCTACACAAATTTCAATTACAACATATGTTAATCAACATAATCATGCCCTTTTCCTGAAACCTGAAGTTTTGAAGTAAAGTATCGAATATTATCTAAAGAAGCACTTGATGAAATAAACATAATGACAAAGCATGGTAATTTGTCATTAACGGTACAAAAAAGTCTTTTAAAGGCTCGATTTTTTGATCTAAATTTTCAAGACCAGGATTTAGCAAATGCAATTCAAAAAGCAAAAAGTACAACCAAGATTAGTAATGACGCATCAGTTTTGCTCACTTCTCTGATGCAAAAAAAGTTAGAAGATCCATGCTAGGTTGTTAACTTCGAGCTAGATAATGATAATCGCCTAATTCGCCTTCTTTGGATGTCTCTAGGCCAGGTTGATCTTTGGCTTAGATACTACAATGTTGTTGTTAATAACAACACAGCTCGAACCAATCAATACCAAATGCCACTGGGACTTTTCATTGTAATTGACAACAAGTGTAAAACCCATCTCGCCTGCCAAGTATTGATAAGTGATGAAACTATTGATACACATGTATGGATACTTGAGCATATCAAAAAGGCTGTAGACAAAGTTCCAATTGTTATGTTTACTGATAGAGATCCTGCACTTGATGCTGCAATTCCAATTGTGTTCTCTGAAACATATTCAGCCCACTGTATCTTCCATATAGCACAAAACTTACCTAAAAACCTAAAAGCAAAGTTGGGTATTAATTGGAATAATTTTATTAAGCAGTTTTATGAATGTCGTAATAGCTTATGCGAACCACTCTTTAAAGAAAGATGGAATGTTGTAATAGCTTATGCGAACCACTCTTTAAAGAAAGATGGAACAAATTACTTAATGATTTTCCAATGACAAAAGACTATCTTTTACGTGTACTAGATCTGAAATGTCGTTCATGGGCTCGAGCTTATCTTTATAGAATATTCACAGTAGGCATTGAAAGCACATCAAGAGTCGAAAGTTATAACTGGGTCATCAAGCAACAATTAAAGACAAATAGTACGCTATGTGAACTTGCTGATCGGCTTGATGAAAGATTAAGAGATGAAGTACAATGGAATCAGTTTCATGATTACAGACAAGCTGTTATGATGAATACCATTCCTATTGCTAGGCAAGATTTATTTCCTAAAATAATAAATGTTATAGATGAATATCTTACTGAACCTATTTCTAATGCAATTAAAATGGAGATGTCTCAGTGTCTATTTGTTAGTGCAAATGAAATCGAGCCCAGTTTTGAAGAGTTACACTGTGAACAGGTAATGATGTATAATGCTAAATTAGATGTTCAATTAAAATTAAAGTTTAAACTAATAGTATACCTTGCATCATAAAAGAAAATAATTAACTAGCATCTGAAGAATTTATTAAAGATCAATGTGATGCACATTTCATTATGCTCTAGGTAATTGTGAACGAAGTAGGATGAGAAGAAGTATTAGAAATTTGGAAAGTTATGGACATAAGAAGTGAAAAATGATGTCATGTATATTTTGTTGTCATTGCTAACACAGTATCCTTCTTATGCTCATGCATAATGTTCATCTCAAAAGGAATCATATGCCGCCACTATTTCTGCATCATGATGCATTTAAAAATTACAGCATTCCATATTAGCATGATATGTCAGAGGTGGTATAAAGACCATCATCAGGGTAAATCGATTTTGGAAAGAAAAAGTGCAATGTTTAGATATAAGATGGGCATTTTTAATAACAAAGAGGTCTTACCAACATGAAAACCTACTACTGTTCTAACAACTGTACCCATGATTAAAAAATCTATTCATAAAAGAAACTTGTATGGTCGTGTATAGGGACTAGCACGAGAAGCCACATTACTTGCAGTTGAAAAAGATAATAATGAAATTATTACTTATTTTCAAACCTATATCAACTGAAAGCGTAATGAAAATTATAATATGCCTGAAAGACCCATGGCTAGTGAAGTATCTGACAATACTTGGGAAATTCAAACAAATAAAACCAGTGATCAAACAGAAGAATCTAAAACCGAAACAGAAACAGAAGAAAGCCAAGACATGAATGAAGTAAACCTTGAAAATGTAAAAAATCTGAACAAAGTTTCTACTAGAGGATGACTAGCTAAGTGAAGGTATATTAGTAGTGCTGAAAAAGAACAGGGCTACTGAGGAGGATCTAAGAGTAGAAGGTCATATAAATGTCACATTTGTAATAATGTGGGCCACAATATGGCTTTTCACAAGAAAAGCAATAGTAACAGCACAGAAGGTAAAGGAAGAGGGAGAGGTAGAGGTAGAGGTAGATCAATAGCATAGAGGTAGATCAATAGCATAGCAACCTGTAGTTTGATCTTTTCAGATTCTAAATGATATAATAACTATTAGTATCAAGAAAAATTACTAAAGTATATATTTTGTTTGATTTTTACCTCAAACATACATTGTACATAATCATGTAATAAATTTATAATTTGCACGATTTATAGTTAGGGTCCTTATACCTGATTTAGAGGATTTCTAAAGCAAAGTTACTCTTATTAACTTTAGGGTTAGGGTTCTTTTTTCAAGCTTTTCTTGTTCTTTATTAGGATCGTCAGATGTACATTTTAGTACGGAAATGAGTATTGCCAAAAGAAAAGGTGCAATTCTAAAAAATAGATTATTATAAAATTTGCATCTTTTTTTTTAATGACATAAATTTATATCAAATTTGGCTACATATCACATGATTGTGCTTTGCTTTAGACAACTCCAATTTAGAGTTAGGGTTATCTTTAGAGTTATCCTTACTGTTGGTTAAAGAAAATAGTTATTAGTAAAACTAGATAAATTTATTTTATTTTTTGCTTTATGTGATATATAAATATATAGCACCCTAGGTGCTAGATTTAAATGTTATGCAGGGGTGCAGGATCTAGATTTACTCTAAAATAATTTGCTATGTTTTAAAAATATTTGCAAATATTTAAATAATTTAAATTTATTTAAAACTATTCGCATATATGCAATATATTATAATTTGATATTTTTAAAATTTTTCAATATTTTGAATTATTTTAAAATATTTTAATCAATTATAATTTTATACTTATTTAAATTTTCAAAAAATATTTTGAGAATGTGGTGACTTAGTAAAGTGGAGAAGTTGTTATACCTCCAAGTAGTAGGTTATGAGTTTAAAACCTATTAATAGCAAAATTTAGATAATCATCTATGTAATATATAGATAATATTATAACAATGGCATTTTGTCGATCAGTTAGGATAGAATACCTGTAACTATAGTCATACTAGCATAACTGGCAGATTTGGGGCATCTGTATAACCTGTTACACAGTAGAATGCAAACTGATACTAGGTAGTATAAACCTAAAATAAGTCCTTAGACTGTATAAATTTGTAGAATTGAGAAGCCAGAGCTTATTTGAAAATTCTAAGCAGAGAGGTAACATGAATCTTTAACAGTACTACTATAAAGGCTAAACCTAGAAAATAAATACCAATGTAGAAAAATTAGGTAAGCAAGAACTTCAGGTGAAAGGTACTACCAACCAGACTGCCAAATTTCAGACCAGAAAAAAAGAATATTAGGCTGGTCACAATATATCAAGGACAGGTCACAGTTCTTCCAGGCTATTTAGATTGAAAGTCTGAGTTCAAAACAGGTGTATACTAAAAGTACTAGAGATATGCTATAAAGTCAATGCTAGGGTCTGAGTAAACTTTATAAAGGTAGCCTATATTAGTGTTTCAAAAGCGAGTAGATAGTTAATAACAGAAGGCCTTCTGCACCTTACTAGCAGATAACATACTCTGAAATGTATAACAGCCTAGAAATCAGTACAAAAAGGATAAATACTATACTGCTTAGACAGTATATCACTTAGGTATATATAAAGAGTAAGTTGGGATTTCAATATGACAAGGTGAATAATTAGAGGGTTTAAATGAATAATCTCCTAGTAGGTTATAGGTATGGCATCTAGTGTAAAACCTTAGGGCAAACTACTTAAATAGGCAACCAAAAGTTGTATATATAACTAGCTGTATTCTCATCTCTGTAAAAATAGTTGTAATAGCTAACCCAATATAAATTAATAAAATATTACTACAAGTATGGCCTTTAACAAAAAAAAAAAAAAATTTATATTGATTCAATGCAAACTGTATTTTTTTTATTTATCTTATAATAATTTAGCATATTTTCATAATTTCTAAGTTTTAAATCATGTTTAGTAAGTTTAAAATTAGCTAAATTTTCTCTATTAACTAAACAAAATAACAAAAATAATTAAAGCTTGCTGATTTGTATATTAAACAAAATGTTGCAGCTTCTGATCAACCTGCAATAATTGTTAAATTTTTGAAAAGAACATATATATTTGTTGTTAATTAATTCCAGCTTTTGAATATAATTAAATAGGTTTTAAGATTATTTTTAAACAATTATGAAAAGTTTGTTTAGCTTTTTGTTTAATTACATCAGAGGTTGATTTTATTATTGGCAAGTAACCTAATAATTGCTTTGTATCTTGCTTATTTTTGTATCAAATAGGTATATTTTCAAGTAACAAATATATTGAATGAAGCAGACTTTTATTTAATATATCACAATTGGTAGCATCAGAATACAAAATAATTGACAAAATTTTTAAGCCTAAAGATAAAGTATTCTGAGTAGTTTTCTACCACATTTCATTATTTTGCTCTTTATAAATATTTTTTTAAATAAAACTAAATTAATAAAAACAAAATAAATATTTTAATAAATAATATTAAAAATTAAATTCCCTTAGTAGTTTTATATAATTCTTCATATTCAAGAACAAAATTTTTTAATGTATCAAAAACTTCTAATATTTTTTTAATACAACTAATTAATATATATGATATAAGAAATACTTAGTATTATTATGATCTAATACTTCAGTTTTTTTTTTTTTTTTTTTTTTCCTTATAAGCAGTCACGCTAGTACTTTATTAAGTTTTTTGAAATTACATTTGTAACTACATAAAT